AGGAGTGATTAATATACCAGAGGAATGAGATTGTCAGTAAATTTCAACAAAGACATTTGAATTAATGTTTAAAAATTGAAAATGGGCTGGGCGCAGTGGCTCCCGCCTGTAATCCCAGCACTTTGGGAGGCTGAGGCAGGTGGATCACATGAAGTCGGAAGTTCAAGACCAGATTGACCAACATGGAGCAACCCCATATCTACTAAAAATACAAAATTAGCTGGGTGTAGTGGCGCATGCCTGTAATCCCAGCTACTCAGGACACTGAGGCAGGAGAATCGCTTGAACCCAGGAGGCGGTTGTGGTGACCCAAGATCACGCCATTGCACTCCAACGTGGGCAACAAGAGCGAAAAACAAAAAACTCAAAATGATGTCACCATTTAAATTCCAGTCACAGAAAGGAAAAAAAAGTTAACACTTAAGGATTACCTACTATATATGAGGCACTTTTACCTTTAGGTTTTATAATTAACATTCTTATATATAAAGAAACCGAAGTTTATAGAGTTTAATTAACTGACCCAATATAAGAAACGCAGTAGGCTGGGCGCGGTAGCTCATCCCTATAATCCTAGCACTTTGGGAGGCTGAGGTGGGTAGATCACCTGAGGTCAGGAGTTCAAGACCAGCCTGGTCAACATGATGAAACCCCGTCTCTACTAAAACCCCCGTCACCACCATCATGGTGAAACCGCATCTTTAAAAAAAAAAATTAGTTAATGCTGAACCTGGCATTCAAACCTAGGTTCGTCTGTTGCTGAAACTCATGTGTGACCTCTCCAATACTACCTAGCTCTGGGAATTTATAAGAACACTAATCATGAGTATAAGGTGCAACACAACTTTAGAAAGTCAATCACTACCAGAAAATTGGTAAAATGTTTAAGGGCCAGACAGGACAGGAGTAGCACTGCTCAGATTTTCCAAAACACAGAACAGCTTCAGTCTCTAGGACTAATGTAAATGGTTTGAAATGGGAAGATAAATGTTACTGAAGAAAAATCATTTTCAGCCAAGCAAGATGGCTCAGGCTTGTAATCCCAACACTATGGGAGGCCCAGGCAGGTGGGTCACTTGAGGTCAGGAGTTTGAGACCGGCGTGGCCAACTTGGTGAAAGTTTTAGTAGTTTTTCTCTACTAAAAAAATACAAAACTTAGGCAGGTGTGGTGGCACATGCCAGGTGTGGTGGCGCATCCCAGCTACTCGGGAGGTAGAGACAGGAGAATCCCTTCAAGCCAGTTGCAATGAGCCGAGATTGCACCACTGTACTCTAGCCTGGGTGACAGAGCAACACTCAGTCAAGAAAGAAAGGAAAGAAAAAGAAAAAAAGAAAAGAAGGGCCGGGCGCAGTGGCTCAAGCCTGTAATCCCAGCACTTTGGGACGCCAAGGTGGGTGGATCACGAGGTCAAGAGATCGAGACCATCCTGGTCAACATGAAACCTCGTCTCTACTAAAAATACAAAAACTTAGCTGGGCATGGTGGCACGTGCCCGTAATCCCAGCTACTCAGGAGGCTGAGGCAGGAGAATTGCCTGAACCCAGGAGGCGGAGGTTACGGTGAGCTGAGATCACGCCATTGCACTCCAGCCTGGGTAACAAGAGCAAAACTCCGTATCAAAAAAACAAAAAAGAAAAGAAAGATCATTTTCACAAAGAAAAGCTTTGAACCTAAATCACTGCTAGAGACAAAATACTTTTAAGTATTAAAACTATGGTCATTTGGTCAGGCATGATGGCTCACTCCTGCAGTCCCAACATTTTGGGAGGCAGAGGCAGAGAGAGATCACTTGAGCCCTGGAGTTCACGCTCATGACCAGTCCCCACAAAAAAAAAAAATACAATATTAGCCAGAAATGGTGGCCACGCCTAGGCCTAGCTGCTAGGGAGGCTGAGGTGGGAGAATAACTCCAGCTGCCAAGTTGGGATGTCAGTGAGCCGAGATCTCACCACAGCACTCCAGCAAGGTTGACAAAGCTAGACCATGCCTCAGAAACAAAACAAACAAAAAAACCTAGGGTCAGGCAGCTAGCTTGTAAGACATTGTAGCAAGAGAAACGTTCATCATCCCAACAAAACAGTTAACATCTCTTACCAACAAGTTTCAACAGCAATAAATTCTTGGAATAATGTTTTGTAGAAACCTAGTACACAATCTGGAATCCATGCTTAAACAACTTACCAGTTTATGACAATTAAACATACTTTGGTAATTTATAGACTTCAACTGAATAATACTGTAGTAAAAATACATCCAAAATTCTAAATTTTTTGCCAATTTCAAAAGAACTAGAAAACACATTTTTCTTTTTCTTTTTCTTTTTTTTTTTTTTTTGAGGCGGAGTTTCGCTCTAGTTACCCAGACTGGAGTGCAATGGCGCAATCTCGGCTCACCGCAACCTCCGCCTCCTGGGTTCAGGCAATTCTCCTGCCTCAGCCTCCTGAGTAGCTGGGATTACAGGAACGCACCACCGTGCCCAGCTAATTTTTTGTATTTTTAGTAGAGACAGGGTTTCACCATGTTGACTGGGATGGTCTCGACCTCTTGACCTCGTGATCCACCCGCCTCGGCCTCCCAAAGTACTGGGATTACAGGCGTGAGCCACCGTGCCCGGCCACATTTTTCTTTTTTTAAAGATGGGGCTTCACCATGATGGCCAGGCTGGTCTTGAACTCCTGACCTCAGGTGATCCACCCACCTCGGCCTCCCGAAGTGCTAGGATTACAGGCGTGAGCCACTGCTCCTGGTGAAAACACATTTATAAGTGAAACTTTTTCACTAATATCTTTATCATAACCGTAAAGCTTTACTGTAACCTTACTTTCCTATTCTGAAATATGTTCAAATTCCTATTTTGAAGTAAGTTCAGGCCGGGCGCGGTGGCTCACGCCTATAATCCCAGCACTTTGGGAGGCCGAGGCAGGTGGATCACGAGGTCAAGAGATCGACACCATCCTGGTCAACACGGTGAAACCCCGTCTCTACTAAAAATACAAAAATTAGTTGGGCATGGTGGCACATGCCTGTAGTCCCAGCTACTCGGGAGGCTGAGGCAGGAGAATTGCCTGAACCCAGGAGGCGGAGGTTGCGGTGAGCCGAGATCGTGCCATTGTACTCCAGCCTGGGTAACAAGAGCGACACTCCGTCTCAAAAAAAAAAAAAAGAAAGAAAGAAAGAAAGAAGTTCAAACCAGCCATAATCAAATTACATTCCCCCCTCAAAGTAATGGGGAAAGCATATGGACTTATTACTTAGCAAAGAGAGCTCTGAATAAATATCTTAAGTGCTTAGTAAAAATTAAATAAGTGTTTAGTAAAAATATAATTTATATTACGTCAATATAAAACCGTGATGGCAAAATCTGTTGTTTTAGTATATTTCACCAGCCAAAGAAAATAACGAAACTTAGGCCATCAGCTTCATAAAGATTTATTTTTGCCTAAAGCATTGTGATACAAGCCAATTTTTTTTCTTTTTTTTTTTTTTGAGACGGAATCCCTCTCTGTCCAGGCTGGAGTGCAATGGCGCTACCTTGGCTCACTGCAACCTCCACCTTTTAGGTTCAAGCGATTCTCCTGCCTCAGCCTCCCCAGTAGTTGGGATCACAGGCGCCCACCACCACGCCCTGCTAATTTTTGTATTTTTACAAAAATTACAAAAGGTCGCCATGTTGGTCAGGCTGGTCTCGAACTCCTGACCTCAGGTGATTGGCCCGCCTTGGCCTCCCAAAGTGCTGGGATTACAGGCGTGAGCCACCGCCCCCGGCGGTAAGCCAACTTTCTAACAAAAATTCTTCCCAGGAGTACAGAAAAGACAAGTTAAAATGTATCCCCAAGTTTCAGGAAAATAGGCTACATATGGAAGGTCAAGTCTCAGAAAAAGCTCAAAGCATACAGTATTTTACCTTTTTCTGGTCAAGGAGACAAAAAAGTAAAAAAAAAAATGGGTCAAATGCAATTAAGGTGAGGAAAAATGCCACAAGAGGAACAACTAGCATGTTTCAACTGTCACTAAAAGTTTTGTTTGAATTAAGTAGGTTTACCACTGCACCACGTTCAGGAAAAAAATAAATACTGCGTACTTTAGATCTCCAGAGTGTACTTATAAGTCAACTCTACGCTCCCCGTAGTTGTTCCTTGCAGTACAGGCTTTTTGTTCATATTCTAATGTCTTCCAAAGTCCCTGAACAGTTAACTTAAGGTCATGCGTGTGGAAACTACTTTAAAACATTCTTGACAGGCTTTCTACGAGTAGCCCAGATTTTTCTGATTTGATTTAAATAGATCCAATTACCGAATGCCCTACGGACCAGCCGCCGCCGCCGCCGCCTCCTCCACCCCACTCCGGAAGGGGCCACTAATCACAAGGGTTACAACCAAGTACTAATTCATTGTCATTTATTTTTAAAAGGCATGCTTTCTAAGATCCTCACTATTTAGCAGTCAGAAGACAACTTAAAATTGGAGATAGGGATCTAGCACAAACCAAATAGAAATATAACTATTCCAAAAGAGCAGGGCTTTGCCTGTCAAGGTGTAGCTTTATCCTTATCATCAACACCGATTTCAAGCCACAATAACATCAAGGCTAACCCTTCACCTGTTTTGCAGGCTTCACGTTAACTTCCCGTGACCCTTTCAACAAACCGCTTCAACTCGGCCCACCTCCTTCCGCTCCCGCCCTAAACCTCAGATAAAATGCGTTTCCCTCCAAACTTCGCGTCTTAACCGTGGCCTGACTTACTTCTCGTCCCCACCGCTCCCAGTCAGGACCTTAGTTCTACCATGCCCCTTTCCCGGTTGGCCTCAAGCCTCCAGCCTCCTCCCATAAGGCTCGAATCTGCCTCGACGAGCCGCCCCGAGGTCGATCCTCCCAGCTCCTCCAAACTGCCCAGGCGCGGGTCCAGGCCCCCAAAGCACGCAACGGCCGAGCCTGAAAATGGCGGAGAGTGCCACTGCCTGCTGCAGGCGAGCAGTCCCGTGTCGCCGCCAGACTCACCGTCTGGCGTAGAGCAGAGCTCCTAACGGCCAGCGCAGCGTTAGTCTTTAGAGCCCGGAATGTCTCTTCTGTTTGGTCTCCCCTCTCCGTTCCTCTCAATCCCGCTCCTCCAAAGGAGCAGCCGCCATCTTCCCCTAGGAACCACCGAACGCACGCTCTGGAGTCATCACGCACCGGCGGACGCTGCTACGTCACTCGCGCCTGGCCGCGGGCCTCGGTGAGACTCGATCTGCGCCTGTGCTTAGGTGAGGGGCCGGGCCCTAAGACCCTGCCCGGCGCTTCCTTTGTTCGGAGCAAGTACGGTTGTGCTGCCTCCCGGATGAAGATAGCGACTGCGTTTCGCAGTGCTGCCTTTTTTTTACAGTGTGAGCTAACCTGGCTGCTCTGAAAAACACCGTTTTCCAAAATGTGAATGTTTGTACGGGGCCGGGGCGGCAGACACAGCGGGCCGTTGGACAGAGCCCACCGAGAGTGGATGTGTGGGAAGCCGCCGTGTGACGTTGCTGAATCTGTTCACCCGTCAAGCTGGTGGCCGCCCTGGCAAAGCCCGGCACACAGTCAGGCTCCACACCTTACCCGAGCCTGTTGTGCCTCTAGATTACGCGTCGCTTAAAGTCGAGCGACCAAGATAGAAAAACAGCCCCACGGTGCAACCACTTTGGAAAACCGCTTCAGTTTCTGCGAAAGCTAAGTGTACACTTACCTTGTGACCCAGAAATTTCACTTCTGGAGGAATGAGTGTATACGTCCACCATAGGCATGCGCAAGAATGTCCATACCACAATTATGCGTGGTAATAAAAAACTGATAACCCAAATGTCCCTCAGCACTTGAGTGGCTAAATTGTGTTACAGTCATACAGCGAATTTCTCAGAGCAATAGGAGGTTACGGATAAACGCCACAGCCTGAACGAATATCAGACAATGTTAACTCAGGCACAAAGAGGAGGACGCTGTATGATTCCACTTTTATGAGGTTCAAAATAGAACTGCAAAACAAGTTGTTCCCCAGTATGAGTCAAGAATCATACCAGCCAGCCTAGGGAACGTGGTAAGACCCCATCTTTACGCATGGTGGCGCGTTCCTGTGATCCCAGGTACTTAGGAGGCTGAGGTGGGAGGATATCTGAGCCCAGGAGTTGAACACTACAGTGAGCCAAGATCGCGCCACTGCACTTCCATCTCGGCAACAGAATAAGAGCCTGTCTCAAAGAAGTCTTACTTTTGACTCCATAATCCCCTTCCAAGAATCTATTCTAAGGATAGCCTCAGAAGTGTGAATAAGATTTTTGTACTAACATTTGAGGCATTAATGATAGCCTCCCCCCCAAAAAAGGAAACACAGTAGTAGACAATGATTAAGTAATTAAGTAATGGCACATCCGTACTTAAAGTATCATGCAGACATTACACAGTATCTAGATACTACATGATACTCTATGGTTGTGCCATTACTTAATCATTGTAATGATGATATCAGAAATATTTATAATCGGCCGGGCGCTGTGGCTCACTCCTATAATCCCAGCACTTTGGGAGGCCGAGGCGGGTAGATCACGAGGTCAAGAGACCGAGACCATCCTGGTCAACAAGGTGAAACCCCGTCTCTACTAAAAACACAAAAATTAGTTGGGCATGGTGGTGCGCGCCTGTAGTCCCAGCTATTCGGGAGGCTGAGGCAGGAGAATTGCTTGAACCCAGAAGGTGGAGGTTGCGGTGAGCCGAGATCGTGCCATTGCACTCCAGTCTGGGTAACAACAGCGTAACTCCGGCTCAAAAAAAAAAAAAAAAGAAAGAAAGAAAGAAGCCGGGTGCGGTGGCTCACACCTGTAATCCCAGCACTTTGGGAGGCCGAGGCGGGTGGATCACGAGGTCAAGAGATCGAGACCATCCTGGTCAACATGGTGAAACCCCGTCTCTACTAAAAATACAAAAAATTAGCTGGACATGGTGGCGCGTGCCTGTAATCCCAGCTTCTCAGGAGGCTGAGGCAGGAGAATTGCCTGAACCCAGGAGGCAGAGGTTGTGGTGAGCCGAGATCGCGCCATTGCACTCCAGCCTGGGTAACAAGAGCGAAACTCCGTCTCAAAAAAAAAAAAGAAATATTTATAATCTTATATCATTGTAATGATATCAGAAATGTTTACAATCTTATATATTTTGTCTTTGTTTTGAGACAAGGTCTTTCTGTCACCCATGGTGATAATAATGCAGCCTCAACCTCCCAGGCTCAAGTGATCCTCTCACCTCAGCTCCCTAGTGGCTCAGACTAATGCTCTCTGCCAGGACACCCATACCCAGCTGATTTTATGTTCTCAAACTCCTGGGTTCAAGCAATCCTCCTGCCTCAGCCTTCCAAAGTGCTGGAATTACAGGTATAAGCCACCGGGCCCAGTCCCTATAATCTTATTTTGGTATGTACCAAGAAATATGTAAGGAGGCCAGACAATTCCAGTTCCATGTGATGAGTTTAGGATAGGATGGAAGGAATCCACAGACACCCTGAGAGCAAGGCAGGAATGCCAGGATAGAAAATAGGATTCTCATGGCCTGAAGGTAAGGAATGGGGTCAGGAAGATAACCCTAAGAAATCCACTCATAAATTGGGTTTGACGGTTAGACAGAGAAGACAAACAAGTGGTCATTTCCTAGAAATTATAGCTGGGAGTGGTAGAGGAGGCATTCAGCAGTGTCCTGACCCCTGGAAATCTTTAAAATGTGAATTGGAGGAGCAGTCTAATCAAGGGCAAAAATCCTTCACATCTGTAACTTCACGGGCCCCTTCGTGGAAAATTGTTTGTTTGTTTTTGTTTTTGTTTTTTTGAGATGGAGTTTCACTGTTGTTACCCAGACTGGAGTGCAATGGCACGATCTCAGCTCACCGCAATCTCCGCCTTCTGGGTTCAAGCAATTCTCCTGCGTCAGCCTCCTGAGTAGCTGGGACTACAGGCGTGTACCACCATGCCTAGCTAATTTTTGTATTTTTAGTAGAGACGGGGTTTCACCTTGTTGACCAGGATGGTCTCAATCTCTTGACCTCGTGATCCACCCGCCTCGGCCTCCCAAAGTGCTGGGATTATAGGCATGAGCCACCGCGCCCGGCGGAAAATTGTTTTTTAAATTGACCAGGAGACAGATGAACCTGTTAAATATACTGCAAGGATGCAATCAGCCATAATCTATATTTCATAAAATTTTACATGTGGTACATTTTCTTCCAAAAAAATGATTAAAGGCCAGGTGCGGTGGCTCATGCCTATAATCCCAGCACTTTGGGAGGCCGAGGCAGGTAGATCACGAGGTCAAGAGATCGAGACCATCCTGGTCAACAAGATGAAACCCCGTCTCTACTAAAAATACAAAAAATTAGCTGGGCCTGGTGGTGGGTGCCTATAATCCCAGCTACTTGGGAGGCTGAGGCAGGAGAATTGCTTGAGCCCAGGAGGCGGAGGTTGCGGTGAGCTGAGATCGTGCCATTGCATTCCAGTCTGGGTAACAACAGCGAAACTCCATCTCAAAAAAAAAAATGACTAAAAAATAGAGGAAAGAAACTGTTAGAGATTATCTGTTACAGGTTAGAGGCTTAAGAGGCATATCAACCAAATGCAATGTGTATTCCATGTTTGGATCCCGACTGAGCAAACTTGGGGAAAAAAGACATTTTTGAGAAAATATGGACATTTGAACATAGACTGAGTGGATATTAGGTGACATTAAAGAATTTTTAAATTTGTTTATTTTGATTAATTTTTTAAAATCGTTACCTGTTGGCCAGGCACCGTGTCTGGGAGGCCAAGGTGAGCAATCACCTGAGGTTAGGATTTCAAGACCAACCTAGTCATCATCGTGAAACCCCATCTCAACAAAAAATACAAGAAAAGAAATTAGCGGGGCGTGATAGCATCCACCTGTAATCCGAGCTATTCAGGTGGCTGAGACAGGAGAATCATTTGAACCCAGGAGGTTGCAGTGAGCCAAGATGATATCACTTTACTCCAGCCTGGGCAACAGGGCAAGACACCATCTCTAAATAAATAAATAAATAAAATAAAATTTTTACCTGTTACATCCTGATGAATGAGTTAAGTGATATTATGTCTGGAATTGCTTTAAGTGATTCCCCCCAAGCACATCAGCAAAAATGGTTGATTAAAGACATCTGAAAATCTTCTCCATAAAAGCCACAAAAACACTGGCGAAATTTTGTCACAATCAACTTTTTCGGTTTTCAGAAATTAACCAAGGTCTTTCAACAAGATAAGGATTGTTTATTCAAGAAAAAAAAAGGCTCAATCTTCATAAAGTGACAAGGGATGAGAGAGGGACATAGACAAGATTGGCTAGGTAATAAGTAAATAACAGTTCACTGTGCTGATTTATTTATTTGTTTAGGGACATAGCGTCTCCCTACATTGCCCAGGCTGGCCTTGAACTCTTGGCCTCCAGTGATCCTCCCATTTGAGCCTTCCAAATAGCTGGGACTACAGGGGTGAGCCACCACACCTGGTTAATTTTCTCAATTTTAGGACGGGCGCAATGGCTCACACCTATAATCCCAGCACTTTGGGAGGCCGAGGCGGGTGGATCACGAGGTCAAGAGATCGAGACCATCTTGGTCAACATGGTGAAACCCCGTCTCTACTAACAATACAAAAATTAGCTGGGCATGGTGGCACTTGCCTGTAGTCCCAGCTACTTGGGAGGCTGAGGCAGGAGAATTGCTTCAACCCAGGAGGTGGAGGTTGCAGTGAGCCGAGATCGTGCCATTGCACTCCAGCCTGGGTAACAAGAGCGAAACTCCATCTCAAAAAAAATTTTCTTAATTTTTTGTAGAGATGAGGTCTCACTGTTTTGCCTAGGTGATCTTGAACTCCTATCCTTAAGTGATCCTCCCAGCTCAGCCTCTCAAAGTACTGGGATTACTGGGATTAGCCATAGCACCCAGCCACTATATCTTAACGCATATGTGAAAATATTGTATAACAAGTACATTTTTCCTACACAAATAGGATACTATTCAAACTGTACTCTTTGGGCAATATATCTTAGTACTTTTCCTTCTCAGTTCACAAGTAGACATATCTTTGTTCTTTTTAGCAGCTTCTCAGGCCAAAGAAGGTGGCTCAAGCCTGTAATCCCAGCACTTTGGGAGACCTATGTGGGAGGATCACTTGAGCTCAGGAAATCAAAA